CATATGTGCCCCTCTGCACAGGCACAGGCGCCCATACACACACACATCTGCGTGGGGCTTCTGTGCACACTCACAGGGAACCGTGACCTTGCATGAGCTGAGAATTAGAGCACTGAATAGAGGATGGGCGAGAGGTGGAGCTTTTGATTTCAACATGATAGCGATCACTTTCCTTCTGGGCAGTAGTACTAGGTATTCAGTGTTAATCCATTTCTGCAAAAGACTTTCCGCCTAATCTGTGCCTTCGCTGAAATCCAGAGTCCAGACATGGGGAAGACCACGCTGAAAAAAAGTCAAAAATCGATCTTTACAGTGGGAGCTTAGTTGAGAACCAGTTAATTCTCTAGGTCTTAGGACCGGCAGACTTTGAGTTCACTTGTGGGTATCCAAAGACAGTACATCCGTCAGATACTTGCAGCGGGTGTAGGATATGGATTCCAGGTGCCCTGCCCTTTACTTTGCTCTGGTTCTAGTTCCTGGACACTTTTAGCTTTTCAGATTAGGTGATGAAAAGCATTCACTGTACATGCAGATAGTAATTTTAATTATAGAGTTTCACCATTTCTATTTAATTATATAGAGTTTACCATTTTAATAAAGTATTTCTGGTTCTAGTATCATATCAACAAGCTGTCGATCATGACGTCAGAGAACCACTTGAACAACAGCGACAAAGAAGTCGATGAAGTGGACGCCGCCCTGTCAGACCTGGAGATTACTCTGGAAGGGGGTAAAACATCAACAGTTTTGGTAGGGTCAGTCTTTGTACCTTCTACTTTAGTTTGAATCGATGCATAGCTTTTTATGTACTCTGGTTCTTGCCAAAATCTCTCAGTACTTGAGGGGTGAAGAGAAATGTTTAATGCTTTAGAGAAGTCAGATAGGGACTTTTTTCAGAAACTTTCATGGAAGCTTTTTAAGAGGTAATATACTAGTCCCTAGTACACAGTAAAGACAGGTATTTGACATACTGCGTGGTAGGAAACCATTTCTGCAGAGGAAAACACAGTGATGTGCATATGTGTAATATTAACAAGAGAACAATTTATCAGAGAAAAAAAAATTTTTTTTTGAGACAGAGCCTCAAGCTGTCCCCCTGAGTAGAGTGCTGCGGCATCACAGCTCACAGTAACCTCCAACTCCTGGGCTCAAGCGAGTCTCCTGCCTCAGCCTCCCAAGTAGCTGGGAGCACAGGTGCCCGCCACGATGCCCGGCTATTTTTTGGTTGCAGTCGTCATTGTTGTTTGGCGGACCCGGGCTGGATTCGAACCCGCCACCTTAGGTGTATGTGGCTGGTGCCTTAGCCACTTGAGCCACAGGCACCGAGCCCAGAGAAAAATTTTTTAATGCAAAGTTTGGTTTTACAGTTAGGAATGAGCCTGGGCATAGTGGCTCACCCTGCAATCTTTTGCACTCCGGGAGGCGGCTAGGCATTCAAGACCAGCCTGAGCAAGAGCAAGATCCGATCCCCTCTCTACTGAGCACAGAAAAATTAGCCAGGTATCCTGGCAGGTGCCTGTAGTCCAGCTATTGAGGAAACTGAGGCAGGAGGATCCTCGAACCCAGGAATTAGAGGTTGCTGTGAGCTATAATGATACCGTGGCACTCCAGCCTGAGTGACAAAGTAAGACTCTGTCTCTAAATAAATAGTTAGAATTAGTTATTGCTGAAGAAACACTTATCCCAGGGCTCTTAACGATTTATGGATTTTCTATATGCTACCACATGCATTTTTAGCTATATTAGAAGAAGTAACATAATATATTCTGGTGGACTATATAAATTGTTATTTTCATCAAATTTTTGTTAACTTTTCAAGCTATTTGGAAATGTCTTTCCATCAAGAAGACTATGTATGCATAATGCCATGTAATGTGATTGTGTTTTTAAAATCTTTGTTATCTATATTATTATGTAATTCTGTTTTACATAATTAGACAGACATTAGATAGATTTTTTTTTTAAATCTGAATATTACTGAACTCTCTCCCTAGGGTGACATTACTTCCATCCCTGAACTTGCTGACTATATTAAAGTTTTCAAGTAAGTACAAAAGAGGGAGGGATTCAGAATATGAATGAGTGATTTTATGTCCATCTTATAGTCGCGTTCACATCATTGAAACTCACCGTCTATTGACTGACAGATACATCTGTAAAAGGACTTACCACTTAACCCTGAATTATAACGAGAGAAAACAATTACCTTTATCAAATTAAAATCATAGTGCTCAAAGATAAAAATTTCTCCTATAAAAACGTCGTGAGACCCACGGTGCATGATGTAGATGCTGAAATTTAGTAAAAGTGTTGACAGGGCCCCGCTGACCTCATGGAAAGCAGCAGCAACAAAACTGTTGCCACCAGAGCCGATTTCTTTGTTCAGAGCCCTGGATTCTGCTGAATTCTGTTCATTTGTTCATGGAGCATTTTATCTAAGGTTCCAGTATATCTTGCCGAAATATTTAAGCAGTCAATTCAGTTACATTCCATAGAATCAAGAGAACTGAGCATTACAGCAGAGAGGGAGGAGAAAGAAAGGAGGTGATGTAGAATATACTTTTTTCCCTTTGTGTAAGATATAAAGCTATTATAGAATAAATACAGTGAACACGTAAAGTTTGAAATATCCAACATTTCTGAGATAAGCAAGATTTCTGCTGCTGCTGTCCCGCCCTGCCCTCCCGCACTCAGCCTTTTCTTCTGCATGTTCCTCACAGTCTCCGTTGTGGTCACTCTGTCCTCTTTCTGCTGTTGGCATTGGAGTGGCAAGTTAACGTACTCATTGGAACATACCCTTGGGGTGGGGCACATCCCACTCCCTGCCCTGCCGGTTACACTTGCTTCCACACGCGGCTCCAGGGCAGCCCTGCAAACTCCCACCCGCCTGTGGGCAGAGCGGTGAGACCCTGGCTCTGACCCGGGTGCTGACATTCCCACACCTCCTTTCCTGTGCTCCCCGTGTGACCTGCTGGTGATGCATGGGTGGCTGCAGCTGAGAAGTACTGGGGGACATTCCCTATTGTCTTTGTCCTCTCCCCCTCACTGTGTGATTTTTCCTGAGAGAAAGGAGGGGCAAATTCAGTGACAGCATTGACTGTAGGACACTGGCCAAACGGATCTGATTTTAACATATGTAAACCTGGACCTCAGACTGGTAATACTGTATAACTTTTCTACTAAAAATATAGCATTAGTAAATTACATCAGAATGGTTTTCCTCTTTCATTTGATACATAGGCCAAAAAAGCTGACCCTGAAAGGTTACAAGCAGTATTGGTGCACCTTCAAAGACACGTCTATTTCATGCTACAAGAGCAAAGAAGAATCCAGTGGCACGCCAGCTCACCAGATGAATCTCAGAGGTGAGCACAGCCTCTCTGGACTATTGGCCCTAATAGTTGATGAACTTAACATCCCGGGATGAGAAAGTGTAGCCATCTCTTTACTCCTTTGGGTACTTTTTTTTTTTTTTGAGACCGAGTCCCACTATGTTGCCCTTGGTAGAGTGCCATGGTGTCATAGCTCACAGCAACCTCAAACTCTTGGGCTTAAGTTATTCTCTTGCCTCAGCCTCCCACGTAGCTGGGACTACAGGTGCCTGCCACAGTATCCGGCTGTTTTTTGTTGCAGTTGTCACTATTGTTTAGCTGGTTCGGGCCGAGTTCAAACCCTCCAGCCTTGGTGTATGTGGCTGGTGCCATAACCACTGTGCTAAGAGTACCAAGCCTCCTTTGGGTAATTTTTAAATGTTTAGACTGTTTGTCTGAAGAATACTTAGTTCTTTTCACAGTGTTCACTTTCATGTGAACATCCTGTCGCAGTCTCTGTGGGGCTCAGAGGTGCTTGACTCTGTCTGTCTGCGGGTGGATGTGCTGTCTCTGTCCTGGCCCGTGCTCCGCGGGTGGATGTGCTGTCTCTGTCCTGGCCC